CCAGAAGCCTCTTTGGTCGTTAAAGCTTGCAAAGACAGTATAGAGGCCATCACAAGTACTTCAAGAGCCATTGTGAGATGCTGCCGTTAACTATCTTGACGTTAGGGCTTGCTGCGTTGCAAACGTCTTCTGTGCAGGCACTCAAGCCACCAAGGGTTGGATCTAACGGTCATACGAAGCAAGAAGCCTCGTTTGGGACTGTTCCTGGTCGTTTCATCGTTGAGTACGACACTTCGTCCTTGAGCAAGAGAGATGTTCTTGAGTCCGTGGCGTCCTCGTTGTCGGCATCTGGTGTTGATGTCTCTGTGAATACAGATTTCGACTCGTCCGTGTTCCAAGGTGCTTCGATTACTCTAACAGGTAACGACACCACCGTGGATGATTTGAAGGCACTTGCTGGTGTTAGAAACGCATGGCCTGCGTCTGTCATTACACTCGATGACGAGATCAAGCCAAACGAGCCCCAGAGTTGGAATCCACACCTGCTTACCGGTGTGCAAGCCATCCATGACCAAGGTAACAAGGGCTCTGGTGTGAAAATTGCTGTTATAGACACCGGTGTTGACTATACCCATCCTGCACTTGGTGGAGGTATTGGTGAAGGCTATCCAATTACCCACGGTTACGACTTCTACTCTGACATCAACAATCCGTCCAATGATCCGATGGACTGTTTTGGTCATGGTACATTCGTTACGTCCTTGATCATCTCCTCTGATGAGAATGTTCCTGGTGTTGCTCCAGGAGCTTCTATCTCTTTCTACAAGGTTTTTGGTTGCGAGGATTCAACAACAGACGATGTTATCATTGCTGCCATGATCAAAGCTTACGAGGAGAACCCAGATGTCATGACACTGTCACTAGGATCAAACCAGGGCTTTAACACTATCCCAGTTGCTCAGATTGCTTCCCGTATGACCAAAGATGTTGTCGTCATGTTCGCTGCCGGAAATGCTGGTGAAATGGGTGTGTTCTACGCCTCATCTGGTGCATCTGGTGTCGATGTTCTCTCAATTGGGTCTTCGCACGCTAAACAGTATCCAGCTTTCAAGGCTGTTCTCAACTCATCTTCAGGTGAAACACTTGAATTTGGATACATTGGTAATGCACTGAATGAGTTCGACCTGGAAGGAACCTTCAACGTTCTTGCAACTTCCTCTAACGGTTGTACTTTCAAGACCACAGCACCAGATAATACTGTTCTTATTGCAAGAAGAGGTGGGTGTTACGCTGGTAACTTCTTCAATCAATTGACTTCACTTGGTTACACGGCTGTTCTCGCTTATATGCCTGAAGACACCTTTACCACCTTCAATGTTGGTATCTTGGATACCGATGGTTTGAGCAACCTCGGTTCGATGAAGGAAGATGCCGGGGAGTGGGTAGTTGATCAGATTGACAGTGGTAATGAGGTCACTGTCACATTTTCCAAGGATTTAGGCCCTGTTGGCTTAGACTATCTGGCGATTTCTTCGGGTCAAGTTGATTACTACACATCGTGGGGCCCAACATACGAAAACAACTATTACCCACACGTCAATGCACCAGGTGGAGGTGTGTTCGGTGCTCTGATTGGTGGTGGCTGGGGTGGTGGTTCAGGTACTTCCTTTGCTACTCCTTACGTAGCTGGTGTTGTTGCTCTGTACCTCTCTCAATACCCAGGTGCTGACCCTGCTGAGGTTCGCAGAAGACTTATATCCACCGCTAATGAGCTGCCATTGTTTGACTACGAAGAAACTGTGACAGGCTATGATACTTCGACGCTGAACAATTCCATCCCTGCTCCAAGTATCCAACAAGGTGCTGGTTTGATTGACGTTTCCAAGTTTATCGAGCAAAAGACCATCCTGACCTCTGCCCCAGTCTTAGAGCTGAACGACACTGTCAACAGAATCGATACCTTCACAATCAAGATTCGCAACGACAACGACGTCGCTGTTAACTACGTTTTGAGCCATGAAGGTGGTGTTACTGTGAACTCGAGATCAGGTCAAGATGACTTCTGGATCACATATCTTTACTACCCTCCATACGAGGATATCCACGCCGATGTGGAATTGTCTGAGAGTTCCCTCTCCATTGGACCATCATCTGAAGCTTCGTTTGATGTTAAGATCTCTGCTCCACCTGGCTCAAACCCAGATTATGCTCCTATCTTTTCTGGAAAGATTGTTATCTCTGGTGATAACGGTGATGTTGTCGGTGTGCCTTACATGGGTATTGAATGTGACTCTTATGCATGGACTCCGTTCCCTGAGCCCCCTCTAGCACTTCGCTATGATTCAGAGAGTGGTTATCTGTATAACTTAACTGATCCAAACTTCAAGGTGAACTTCACGTTCAATGTCGATGACTCTCCTGAGATCTATTACTATCTCAGATTTGGTACTGAGGTTCTTTCATTTGAGCTTGTGGAGGATGGTTACGATTTAAGTGACTTTAAGTTTCCTTTAGAAGTTGGTGATGGTGTTCTTGGGCCTCTCAGAACCTCCAACGACGTCTATGGCAACTATGCTGATTTCCCGGTGCTTTTCTTGCCTAAAATTACTGATTACACTTACTTCCACTCTCAAGGCCTGGCTGATGGATCGGTCATTCCAGATGGAACTTACAGGATTTTGTCTTATGCTCTGAAGGTGTTCGGAGACAGAAATAACCGTGATGATTGGTCATTGAGTCTTTCAGACCCGTTCGATATCGTTGGTAACACTGGAAATACTACAACCTCGGAAACTTCTGAATCGTCAACTGAATCGAGCTCCGAGTCTTCCACGAGTTCCATCTCATCTGAGTCTACAGCATCCGATTCCATGACCAGTTCAGATGAG